CCATGCCTTACGCCGCCCTTGGTCATAGAAATGATGTAATTTGAAAATAAATTATTTATAAATACGTATGTCAAGTTATATTTTTATTACGACGCAAAATATATTTAAGAGTTTACGGCCACTGTTCCGGGTAAGACGTTGTTGAAACAAAAAAAGTTATGCATTCCATCACGTACATAAACAGTATCGTAATTCGCAAAGTGCAAATCAGCAAATTCGTAAAATTTTTGTTTATTTTGAACAATCCGGATAATAGAGGTCCGGATAATCGAGGTTCTACTGTATTAGAATTTAGCAAAGCCAATCACCTATTAAGCCCTAACTCCCCAAATTATACAACCCTGATCTTGACTGAGAAAATCATACAAATTTTGGTACTTTACAGTTAATGGGACGCCAGCCGATATACATTGCAACGAGTTAGATTTAAGCTTTGAATGAGGAGTTTCACACCACTCCAGAATTGTTGACCCTTCACGAGATATTTGTCTCCAAAGGTCAGTTTTTAACATTTATCATTCTAATGCCTATTCTACATGCTTAGCATGTAGACGTGCGCCTTGGTGCTCGCTATTGTTCACACCTCAGCTCCTGGGTGGGGACAAGCCCCACAGCCCCTAAAACTATATAACATCAAGTACTCCATGAACAGTTAAGTGGGCTACTTGAAGCTGGCAGAGTCACGTAAGCTAAATTGTTAAACACGATAGTCTTCTGGCATCCTGTTAACTGAAAAGTAGTCAAATTTTTGATAAAAGCAAACTAACTACTGTTCCTCTAATGATTCATATTAACCAAGTTGCCTATATTTTATAGGGCCATCTTTCTAAGGATTCTACTACATCAAACTCTTCTAATACATTTCTATAGTTGCTGTTTATTTTAAAGCTTCTTCTTTGCCCATAATATGCTCATCAGTACTGAAAGAATTGAAAGTAGGACTTTTTCAGGCCAGTATTCAGCCAGTAGAAATCTTATCTGGGCCTCTTAAAGGAAATTTTTTTAACCTAAACAATAATTTGTGTTTTAGTTTAAGTGACAATAATACTAAGAAACCATAGAGAAAAGGCACATTATACTTTATTCACCATTTTGTCATGGTAACATGGCATAGAGTTGTCCTAGAAAATGCAGGATTTTGTCATGAAATTGTTTCTTGATTATTGAAATTAACTTGGCAGATAAGATGTTTTCTGTTGCACTGCATATATATAGACCCAATTATAAAATGTAGTCTGCAAGCTCTTTACTGCATCCCCACATCATTTCACTTACTGAAACTTTACTGTCAAGCAATCCTTGTTATATGTCTTGCCTTTTCTATATCTAATGTAGTTTCTGTCAGACCATCCAAGTTAAATTTGAATTTATTCAAAAACAAAAGAATCTCACATGTCAACACTTCAGTTTGCATACTGTTTAGCTCAGATAAGCCTCTGTCTATACAGTTTACTTGACAGTAGGCCAAGTTACAGAGGCAATGATACACAGTTTACACAGTTCAAAAAAACTAGCAGTACATTCTTGTATTCTATAATGGCATGGTTTATTCACATGTTCACTTCCTAATTCAGTTTTTCTTTCAATGTTGCCATGTTTATGTCTCCTTTGTAACAAACATACGATTGTTGATTGATGAAAATTCACTCTCTGCACTATAGTGTTTCACAAAAGAATAAACCTTAACCCACACAAACCTTTTAAACCAGCATATAAAAATACTTTAATTTAAACTATTCCAAATGTTTTTGGCTTTTTTTAAAGTCCTCATCAGGCTGTTACAGAAAGAATATATCTAAATTAACATAATGTCAAACAGTAAATAAATATAATTAGAACACTTTTTAAACCACACAAAGTTTTGAATATAAAATAAATTCAATGATATTTATCAACAAAATTTATATGATATAAAATCCTATTTTTATTATATACTCTTGTCATATATATCTATTTCTTGTGTATTTTTTACTTATTTTATTGTTTTTAAACTACGTTATTATTATTTTTATACATATCTTCATCCAGTATTTATTTATTTTTATATACTGCACTTTGTTCTAAATTTTAATTTGAAATGTTTGGCATTCCTTGTTTTAAATATTTATATTATGTTCTTGATTGTTAGAGTTTGTTTTATGTAACCTGAAGGTCATTAAAAATGACTGAAAACATTAGCGATTAAAATATTTTTTGCTGCTTACAAAGAAATTTAATGACTTGAATATTCAACTATATGTTTTATGCTCAGCATTGTGATTGGTTAAAATATTTTTCTATCAAAAATGGCTGTAACAGATATAAACAAAATTAAAAAATGTTATATAAATTATTGTCCACCTAAATTATATAATCCAGCCAACTCCTAGGCACATTTAGAGATATCATACAAGAATATCCATGCTATGGACAGCCTGTTTTCATCCTTGAAGTTCATCAACTTTCCCATCATCTTAGTTTTATAAATTTGTAAAGTCTGTGGATATTTCAGGCTATTTCTTGTTCTTATTGTTTTGATTATTCTCATATCATCTCATTTTATAGAAAGTGTATCATCCATAATTTGTAATGCCAAAACTGTAGAAGGTATTCTTTTCTAGATGGATGACACTTTAACTTATATAGTAAAATGTGCTGTTGCACTATATACTCATTTTCTGATTGTCTCTGGCATCAGTGAATGGGATACTATACACTCCAGAATTCTCTTAAGATCCATCTTATCCTTGTTGTTTCTTGGCAAATCCACAGAGAATACCAGAAATTTACAAGATGAGAAACTATTGTTGAAATTTTAATTCAATTTGTGGATATTATTTCTGTTATATGAAAGCTAAAAGTGACTAATAAAAGATTTTTTACAGTCTTAATTTAATATTCATTCACTTTCAGTCAAAACAAATTTAATTAAAACACACATTTTTTTAAACAAAAGCAATAATTTAGTATTTACCTCACTGTTTGATTTTTTTTCTGTGTTATCTGAACTTTCATAAGGACCAAAAATCATATCTTTAGCAATATCTGTAGTAGTCCAAACTCCAAATTTATTTCCAGAAACAGCAGATGGTCGAATGCAAAGATTTTCAGGTAAATTTGATATGGCTTCTGTAGAAAAACTAGTTTCCTCCTGAAAAAAGTTAAATATAATACAATTACATTTTTTAATATCTTAAAATATTGCATAAACATTTATTTGTACAGATTCTTACAAGAACACAAAAATGATTTTCAAGATACAGAATGAATTATGTTTCTTACAGTTTGATTTGAGTCAGTATTACTTGTCTCATCTTTATACAGAACATTTAAATTGGGAACTAAAATCTCAGGTCTTAATCATGGGCGTAGCCAGAGTTGTTGGGGGGGCCTAGTGGAGGCCAACCTGACACAAAATTGAATTATTTCAAATTATTGTTCATTATTGGGCACCGAGCAAGCCGTTCACCTTTTTTTAGTATTCAAAACTTTTATTTTAGCTTTAGGTTTTTACAAATCGACTCAACACTTTTTCGGCTGTGATTTCCTGGGGAGGGCACCAGGTTCCCTGGGAGGGGCCGTGCCCACCCAGGCTCCCCCCTCGCTATGCCCATGGTCTTAATTTTCAGAGGAGTTTGAAAAGATGAAAGATGAAAAATTTTCATCTTTCATTGAAAATTTAAAAGGATGGCAAAAAAATCTTTTGCATATTCATATTTATTGAATCTTGTGAAAACTCTGGCTACTGAAAAAAGGATAATGCCTGTTTTCTGACTAACTTTTTTAGGCATTTATCTTCTTCTTTAAATACAATGTACCGTACTTATTATAATCTATGAACTCAGTGTGTCAATTACTCAAGTAGTTGTAATAACTTTTTACCTGTTTTCATTTTGGCAGAAAATTGATGATAATATATTCATTTATCTACACAAAAATATGTTAATAAACACTGCACATATAACCAATATCCAACAATAAAAAATTACAAAGCAAATGTTTTCATCTGTGTTTAACGGCTTGTGAGGCTAACTCCACCAATTCTCTAGAGTTAATTGAATGTCTCAAGGATGTCATGATCCAAGATCCAGTATATTTCATGCTTTGTGACTTCCAGTCTCTATCCTTCTATCCATCCTGCTTTTGTTCTCTGTGTAACTTCCTCCTTAGTAATGTTCAGGACTCATCTAAGCACAATCTTAACATTCTAGATCTTGCCAATCCCTTATGCCACACTTTTTTTTTGCTTTTGAGATACAACTTTTTGGCAAAGTAGGGATGTGCCTAAGGTACCCTTCTAAGGCATCCTTTGTAAACTGGTCATTCATAAACCTCCAACCTGTCTTCAACTACCAAATTCTCCTACATGCATGTTACTTTGACAACATTCTTAATCTTGTGGCTGCAAAAATTCTGTATTCAAGATTTCTTGCATAAAATCTACACCAACCTCTACAGTCTTTCTCTCCAACTGGAACAGGACAGTGAACAAGAAGTTCAATTCCTTGACCTCCAGCTTATCTTTTCCAAAGAACAAATCTCAACTAAACTCTACAGGAAGCCTACACACCATCCAATCTTCATCCCTGCTCTTCTCTTGATCCTTTTTTCTTCAAGATGGCTGACTTCAATGCCCTAATTTGTTGAGCCTTCACACATTCATCTGACACTGAAAATAGGAATCAGGAACTCCAAACCATCACCTGCTATGCCAGACAACATGGCTACCCTCAGACATCAAAGTGATCAAAGATCTACTTCGTTGTTGTCATTCCTCTACCACTTCTGTCAAGCCTAACAAACGTTCCCATGACACTATATACAAAGCTGTTACATATGACAGAAGACTGACCGCTCTGTACAAGGAAATTGCCAGAAATAATAACTTTTGAATAACTTCCTGTTATTCAAAAGTTCTGAAGTCCCTCAGTTGTCATCTCTTCTGCAACACTTAATGACTGTCCAGATATGCACCACCTACCTGGTATATACTATCCGTTATGCATCACAGAACCAACTGCAATGTAGAATATGTGGATGCTACAGGACAATCTTTAAAAGCCTGCCTCAAAGAACATTGAACTTCCATCTGGTAAGAGCTAGCCAACACCACATTAACAACCTTGCAACCTCACATCAAAATGTACAGTACATCCAGATCCCAATATAGATGTACATTTTGATTGAGCATGCCTCCTACATTGCACCTCCTGCAAAGAATGGCTTAGATATTTAGAATAATTAGAAATTTACAAAGCAGCAAGAAAAAAATGTGGCTATCAACTTTAGAGATGTAAACTCCTTCACCTGCTTGGAAGTCGATCTACAAAGTTTAATCTTACAACCCTCCCCCTCTCTTACATCACTTCTCTTTTAACAAGTGGGCAGCAATCACTTATTCCTAGTAGCTTTTCAGTTCGAACTGTTTGTTTTATTTTTTAGTTAGTCCAATGATGCCCATTAAACATGGATGAAAACATTTACTTTCTTGTAATTTCTTCTTGCTGGATATTGGTTATATGTGCAGTGTTTATAATATATTCAACTAAACAATCTTATCTTTTGAGATTGAAAATATTTAGAAGGCTATATAGAGTTGAATATTTTGTGTGTTAACAGAACCTTTTAATTATGTATATGATGGTTTATATGCATATAAAGTTAAAAGTTGATAGTAATTTTTTATTAATTTTATAAAAATAAAATTATTTTTTTTTTGAGATAGTGTATAATTATTTTTGATAGACCTCAAAAGTAGACAAATTAACATCCTGCTCAGGTTGATGCTAAAGGAGGACAACATACTCAAAAGTCACCTATTCTGAAGATTGACAGAGACGATCAACTCAACTAGTCATTGGTAATTTTGTCATTTTAATTTTATTATCAATACACGTTCACATTTTATTACAGGCTCGAAACAAATGTCAACATTTTCTTTTCTTTCTGAATATATCTAGCTTTATAACATATTTATATTCTTTATCCAAACACTATTTTTGCTCTTATGGAGAATAAAATAATTTTTCAAACTTTCCATAATACAAATTTAAAATTATATTTTATAACAACATTTTCAAGATTAAAACAGTTTAATAAATATTAATTTAAAGTGGAAGAAGAAGGAAAGAAATAAAAGACTTTCATTGCTTTTGTTATGCTAAAATGTTATTTCAAATGTTATGTTTTACTTTCAAAATTATTTTCTTAAATTTACTATTTCAATTTATAGTTAAATAAAAAATATAAAATGATGAGAATTATATATATATATAATCAAAACATATTTTTTCATGTATGTTGCTATAACCAAATATACTTTAAATACAGTCGACTCCCCTATAAGATCATTGATTATTCCGTTTTATCTGAATTACATGTTGTACGAGTCACTTAGATTTTACAAATATGTGAGCCATTCACAGTCCGGTACACGTATTTGTAAAATCTAAGTGACTCGTACAACATGTAATTCAGATAAAACGGAATAATCAATGATCTTATACGGGGGTCGACTGGTATACAGTATATAAAGGAGTATTCATGTATTCATATATGTATAAAACTCAATTATGTTTGATACTTAAACGATATTGATTTGAAATCGAAAACTGACTAATTTTTATGAATAAATGATACACTGAAAATCATAAGCTTCTCGAATCATTAAATCAAGGCAATCAGACTGCAATAGTTACGAATGCTAAATGTATTAATAATAAAGACTTAAGAAAAAAATGAATAAAGGAATAATCTAAGAAATAATTAAAAGCAGACGCAGTTTTCTCACCATATTTTGAATTTTTTCCTTTTCTTTTCAGTTTATCACATCATATATTTTACACAGAACATTCTTTAATGTTGTCACTTAACGTATAGAAGCAGTGTTGTCAGATGTGAGAGCGAGCTTGTTCCCGATAACCTGCAAGTACTGTATCTAGAATTTTACTAAATTCTATACTTTATATAAATGTTTCTAACTTAATCGAACCTGTATTAAATTCAGAAGTGTATATGTAAATTTGTATTTTATTTTTTCATTCTATTGGATCTTACATATAAAATTTTTGTATAAAATATATAATTTGCAAAATACTTAAATGGCCAAAAATATAATCTGTAATAAGCGTAATTTTTATAAAAAAAAAAAAAAAACAAAACATAAAATAGAGTTTTTCATCATATTAAAGTGTTCCTTGTTTGGTTTAAAATTACAAGTTTTCTTGCAATTTAAAATTCTGTCGATAAGTGCAAACAGAATGTAGTGTTTGCGTGCCATTTTTATTTATTTATTTTATTTGGTTTTGGCACTTTTTCCACGACGGAAAAGTCTCAGTATCTTGCGTTAGGATGTGGAAATAATGAAATGATTCCGAACAAACTAGAGATTGGGAAATGCATCAGATCCATCTTAAATTTTTTCATTTTTAATTGTTCTATGTAATGTCAAAAATGTTCAATTGCTAATTGTACCAATTTAGAAACTTTTTTTTTTTTTTTTTTTTAACTTTTTACCGTGATACAAGGCTCGTCTCCAGCGCTTTAATTAATCAGTGGGAGTGGACGCGAGTTCAAATATACGTTTTCTTATTCTCGATCGGCAAATGTTGGAAAGCGAGAGTGAAAAGCGAGTTAACATAAATTTTGTTGTGAAACTGAAGAAATCCGCCTCAGAAAATCAATTATTGATTGAGGCTTACGGTGAAGAATGCACGTCTCGTGCACTTTTGAGTGGTACAAACAATTTTCGGAAGGCAGAGAAAGCATAGGCCGTGTTGATTGATTTCTTCTATATCCACTGCATTGTAATGGCAGAGTGGGTTCTTAACGGCCGAACGATAAATCAGAAGTATTAGTTTGATAACTTGACAAAATTGCGCGAACTCGCGAGAAAGAAACGACCAGAATTTGAGAAACGGTTGGACATTGTACAAAGACAACGCGACAACTCACAACACTTTATTTATGAAGCAAATTTTAGCTAATTACAACTTCACTGTGCTTCATCCACCCTATTCATCAGATATGGCTCCCTGCGACTTCTTCTTCCGCCAAAAGATCGAGTCGTTGCGCAAAAGAACCCACTTTTGTAATGAAAGATGTTAAAGGAAAACGACGGATCCTGACAGTGAACTGACGGATCCAGACATTTTCTGAAACACTCAGAAAATGATCTGCAGAATTGCTCTGAATGTTGACAGCATCGTATGCAATTGTTTGTCAACTCAGAAAGAAACTATTTTGAAGGAGATCGTAGTTGATTATCTCAATTTGTTAAATAAAAAGAGATAAAGAGATAATCTCGGTTTTTGCTTCGGGCCTCGTATAGAGAGTAAATCACGTTGCATCTGGATATGGAGTTGAAATCGTTGTTATAGCAGTTGAGAACAATAAGGAATATGAAATAGAAATATTTATAAACGCATATACAGGTTTTTCAATCCAAATTCAATTTTTTGAAAACCAAATTCAACGTTTTTCGAATCAGGTTTATTCGTTTGCATACCAAGTTCACCCTTTTACACATTAAGTTTTTCTAGCAAATTATTCCTCCAGATAATAAACTTTCAATCGATGAAATTCTGTAATAAGAGCGAGAGTTTTATAGCAACTGTTTTGTTTTGATTTGGAATTCGTTTTGTGTCTTCTGCTTCTGGATACTGGAAAACTCAGAAATTATATTTTACGACAGTTCTTTAACTGCCCTAAAATATAGCTTCTGAGTTTTCCAGTGTGGCCGTTGGCCATATTATTGTATTTAACTTTAAAATAAAAGTTTTTGTTGGCTATAACAGTGTCTGCCGTAGATTCTGATATAAAGTTTCAACAATTTGGACTAATCCGAGTGGAAAACTTTTCAAACTTTGCATAGAACTTATAATTTGAGTAAGTTTAGTGAAATGCTTCTTCATATATACCGGGTAAATCAAAAGTCTCTTGCACCTTTTTATTCCAAAAGTACTGAAGATATATTCATTATTATTTGTTATTGGAACGTTTACGTTATCTCTACTCGCTAAAAAGTTACAAGTGTCTTTGAAATTGATTTTTAATAAAATAAATATCGAGTTAATTAAGAGGTTTTTTTAAACCGAAATACCGGTAAAAAATTAATTACCGGTAAATTTACCGGGGTATAATTTTCCTAATATACTGGTATATTAAGAATTTATCTAATAATTATTAAATTAGATAAATTCCTAATATACTGGTATATTAAGAATTTATCTAATTTAATAATTTTCCTAATATACATGGTAGATACTAGTGATTGCATTACCGGTATACCGGTAATGCAATCACTAGTATCTACCATGTTATGGGGGGTCTACTGTAAAATGTCCAACAATAACTTAATGGATAAAATCATTAAACACAATAGTTATTTGGTTGTGAGAGTCGTGCCTCGCCAACGGGCTGGCCATGCGGAGTTTTCTGAGTTTTCTTCCCGTTAGTAACATCTAAATTGGGGCCAGTTTTTCATAAATGACCTCTCTAGAGGCATTCTTCCTTGACATATCGCCTGTGTCGCGTCGCCGTATATGAATAAAACCAAACCAAAATAAAAGAAATTCGATTAACGAAAACTTCTAATGAATCTATAATAATTTACAAAATAATCAAATAAACAATATACAGTAATTTCGCGGAAAAACTACAAGAAGTGAACCAACATTGGACTCCTCAATTCGTTTTACTGCTATAACTTTATTATTATTAAAGCTATTTGTTTAAACCCCAAAACATTTTTTGATTAGTTGTTCAAGACCTCCCTTCTTTAAAAGTGACTAAAAATGTTTGTAAAGAGCAATTTTAAATTTAACAAGTTTGCTTCAAAAAATAACTGTTTGGAAAAAGCGCCACAAATTCGGTTCCTCAAATTAAAATGTAATTTTATAAAATAAAAAAGGAAAGAAAACAGCAAAAATTATAGAATAATACGATTTCATGTTTCTGCATTGAGGAATGAAAATAGTAGTTTTTGGGGCAAGATTCTAGGACAAATGTAGCAAAATTTCGTCCCCCCCAAATTGTAGAGCCCCCTGTGTGAGCAGAAAAGTCAAAAAGACCATGCCCGTACGGGCGACCCTAAGCGAGATATAGCCCTCCAAAGATGCGCCTACGTCACATCCGGTCACGTGACTCCGAGCCCAAAAGGGACGGCGTCACGTGGCCGAAATTTTTTTTTTCGGTTTTCCCCATCTCAGTGTTGAAAAAAAATCGTCAACTCCCCCTTCCTTAGCCCCCAGCGCGCGTCTCCCCCTGACACGCGGCCAGCGGCCCGAGTCTCCCGCCTGCAGCCTTCAGGAGTCGCCATCTGTTGCCTGTAAATACAAATATCTATTATTTATTACACCTCTTACCTCAGCCGGGGATCGAACCCCAGTCCCAGCAGGCGCCGATCCACTTCTCTCCTCACCGGCCCGCCAGGTCGCTCTGTAGAAACACTTCGGAACTCATACTTGAGCCATGCTAGGCCGAGGAGCTCACTGCGCATGACGGGCCCTCCGGGCGGCCCCCATCGGCCACACAGATTGAGCGCGCCGCGCCACGCGGCCACCCCCCGCCGTTCAGGTGCAGCGGGCCCGTCGCGCGGCCAATGGCCGGACGCTCGTAGGTCACTTGACCTAATCCCGGCCCACCGAGGTTTCATAAGCCTTCAGGCCGCCTTCGGGCATTTTCGGCCGGTGTTTGTTACCGCATTAGTTAGGAGTACAAGTCAGTAAATATTCAGCATTTGTGATATTCCAGTAAATATTCGATATTTGGGTACTTATGGATTAAGAGGACGCCAGTTCAGTGGGGACGCACTTTCTAACCTAACCTAACCTAACCTATTCTAATAAATTAACATAATTATTACCAATTAATTACCGAAGGATACTTGTACCCGAACCCTGGATTATATGCGATTGTTCGAATAACATCGGGCGATCCTATCTTCGTCGTCGTCGTCGACCTCCTGGACATAGCCGAGGAGGAGGAAGCGGCAGCGGTGACCGGCGGTCTTACCCCGGCTTCTCCTAAACAAGATCAGAAACAGGCCAGTCGTCGTCGGGTAGCGAGAAAAGGAGACTCTGCCGAAAGTGAGTGTATAATCTGTTTTGTTGGCTTTTTCCGTCGTCAGTTACAATGTGTTAGAGATAGGGAAATAGAAGCGCGCTCAGTATAGAGCGGCGGCGGCATAGAAAGCGTTGCCTAATTAGCGGCATTTTTGGGGGCCTATATCTCGCGAAGGGTCGCCCGTATGGGCATGGTTCCTTTGACTTTTTTGTTCCTATCGATATGCTCTACTGCTCTGTCAAAGTCCCAATTTGCTACATTTGTCCTAGAATTGTGCCGTTTTTGGGACCCGATATTTTTATTGCTTTTTCCATTCCATCTTCTGTCATAGAATCCGAGGCCACGCTAATTTTTTTTCCACCTTCTGTCATTGCTTTCAATTTAAATGTAAGAAAACCGATCTAATGTCGTTTTTCTTACATTTAGATTGAAACCGATAAAATGTCGATCTAAAACTAATGTTCGAAAAAGTAGGGATCCTACTATGGAATGCGTGATGTTCTTAGAAAATGAGAATGTTTTGGAACAACGTGGCATCGTTACTTTATTATGTGTCAGAAATGATTGACAAAGCAAATAATCCGTTTATTCTACTACTAGACGTTACTAAGAGTTATTTCTCATTACTAACATTACTAATATCATATTAGTAATGAGAAATTAACTCTTAGCTATTTAAAAGTGATGACGCTAAGTCACGTTTTAACAATTTCGTGAATAGAAGAACGAAAATCCATATACTGTACTTTTCACAGACAAGTAACAACGGGTCGATGACAAGATTGAAGTATTTGAATTTCCGTAGGATGAATAAATTATTTTTTCACAAATTAAAGACACAGTCGCTCTAAAAATATAT